GTTTATTAATCATCCAGTTTAGCATTTTTCCAATATGGGAAACTGGATTCAGAAATTAGTCACAGAAATTAGCTCTGTTTTTTCAGGATAGCTCAAATAGGAGAGTGAATTAACAGTTTCCTCCTGATCTTTGAATTTTATAGGGAAGAAGTATTCCAAATGATTTAGTCTTAAGAGTACCTCAATCACCCTTTGAATCCCAAACTCACAGTTATTTAATTATGGTAAATGAGTAGATTTGACTTTTCTTTGATCCTTCTTTTAACAACCATTTAAGGAGATTCTCTTTCAATGCCATTTTTAGATATATTCAAATATCTTCCAGATATTTATTAGAATTCACTTGAATAATAACTTTTGTCACCTTGAACAGGATGCTTTGAGGTCTTGCAGGAAAAAATAATTAAAAATATTCTCCACAAGAGGTGAACTGCAGCTAGGTAATTGCAAAGCTGTTTCTCATTAGAAATCCATTGTAATCATTGTAAGTGCTGCAGCTCAAATAGATATAAATGAATAATGAACATCCAGTACCTGAGATATAATCCTGTGCTGTAATGAGACATTTCTTGAGTGAAGTTTCAATTACAACCATGTTCTTATTGTGGCACCAACCTTTGGAGAGAATAGGGCATAAATTGTATGTCTTGGTGCCTGTTGCAATGATAAGCTGCCTTAATAGCTGCAGAGGGGCATCCAGGCAAGACACTATGTATTTGATTTTTTGCTGTATATATGGAGGTGGCATTGCAGTACCCTTCGTTCCCAGAAAGACAGGGCAAAATATTACAGTACATTAAACAATTATCATGAGTCTAACTGCCACTTGTAAACAGTCTGATAATGGTAGCAGCTCAAGCAGAAGGCGGGGAACTCCAGTTTACAAATATCCTTCAATGTTTGGTTATTATTTGTTTATTTGTTTGTTTCTACTTCTCAACCCCTGGGGACTCTTTGATAACAATACTGTTTCCCTACATAAAATCTAGTTATGCGAACATTGAGAGTCTTTCTACAAATAAATAGAGGCATTATCTGGATAGACTAACCCGAGTTTGAGGGTTATGATACAAAACCTTTTATAAGCATTCAATATTATTAAAATGAAGCATCTTTAGGAAACTCTTTTTCCTTTAGGAAGATTTTTTTAGGAATCTTTAGGGGGGGGGAAAATAAAGCATATCACTTAACAACCATTATTTCAGATCACATGCATTTTAATTAAACAAATGGCACACCCCCTTCAGCAAATCTACTCCCGTTACTGTGCTTAGTGCAGTATTCTCCATACAGTCACATTTTCACATAGGGAAGCATTAAAACTATCTCCTATCTGAAGGATGGAGTGGTAGGTAGATACCACATAATCATATCTAAACTACTTTGTTTTGATTCTTTGCCAGGTGTCTATGGAGATTCTCAGTCATCCAGGTCATGGTTGTCACAAAGGTGCTTTTCTCAAGAGGCAATTGGACTTTATTTTTTATTTAATTTGTCAATTGCTTACAATATAATAGATATAATAATAAATATAAGTATAAATAGACTAAATAATAAATAAATAGACTTTCTGATTGCCTCTTTGCCATGTGCAAGCAGGCGCTTGGTGGATGCGGGAAACTATTATAGGTTGGTTAAGCCTACTTCTATGGTTAGGTCCATCCTATTTTCCTTTTATAGACTAAGTAATTAATGCTGAAAAAATCATTTATCAGTTCTAACCGGTGAATTTCTTTCATAGAATAGAATAGAATAGAATAGAATAGAACAGAATAGGAGTTGAAACAGTTATGTCCAGGATGTGAGGGGTCTGTAAATATTTTCACAGCCCTCTTTTTGACTCGTGGAGTATACAGGTCCTCAAATGGAAGGCAGATTGATAGTAATTGTTTTTTTCTGCAATCCTAATTACTCTCTGAAGTCTGTGTCTGTCTTGTTGGGTTGCAGAACCAAACCAGACAGTTACAGAGGTGCAGATGACAGACTCAATAATTCCTCTGTAGAACTGGATCAGCAGCTCCTTGGGCAATCTGAGCTTTCTGAGTTGGCGCAGGAAGAACATTCTTTGTTGTGCTTTTTTGATGATGTTTTTGATGTTTGGTGTCCATTTTAGGTCTTGTGATATGATAGAACCTAGAAATTAGTGTCCATTTTATGCACAGTAAGGTCAACATTTATTGCCTGCCATGTATCTGTCTGATATCTAAACTGTCAATAGGCTTATTCAACAAGACTGTATTTTATGACATAAAGGAACATTTTTACATTTGTTTCGCAGCACAGCACATGTGTTCGATGTTTATAGCATGTGTGAGCTATAAACATTCATAATTTCCCTGATTTTTCTTGTCATCTATTCCATATAAGTTGAATGGCCAAACATATTTTAAAAAGTACCGATGCATTTTCTAATTCTTCACAACTGACTTCCAGTGGCGGATTAAGGCTCACTGGTGCTCTAAGCACTGACAAATCTTGGTGCCCCCCTCCTTTGCACATACAAGATTTTTTACAAATCTCCATTGGGTTTTTTTTCTTTCTCAACTTTGTGGTGCCCACTTTGGGCCTGGTGCCCTAAGCACATGCTTTGTCTGCTTAATGATTAATACACCACTGCTGACTTCCAGTGCAAGCATGAAGCGCTTAATTTAAATCAACATTTCTCTTTGTAGCTGATAGCATCCATCGTGTTCATCAGCTTTGGAGTGGTAGCAGCTTTTTGTTGTGCAATCGTTGATGGTGTGTTTGCAGCGCGTCACATAGTAAGTATGTGCTTTTGTGTATTCTTCCTCCTTGTTAACATTAAACTCCTTATGTGCCCTGTGTAACCAATAACTTCCTTCATGCTGGGATGCAAATCTAGACATTTAGTCAATTAGACCTTCATAGGGGCTATTTATAAGAAATCTGTAGTTTTATCCTTCCTATTTAGATTTACTTAAAAATAGTGACACTAAGCTGATTGGGGCTTATTCCCAAGCAGTGGCACCTAATTGATAGGACATTTGACTGCATTGCTACATTGATATAAAAATATAAAGCTGTTTTTTTCTCATGTAAACAAGGAATGTCAGTTTATTATAGTGTGTAACTTCTGAACATTTTGCATGATGAATTTAAACCACTAAATTGTCCTTGGCAAAAGTGGAAGCCTAAGCGGGAGGTTCTGCAGAACAAAATAAGTCAATATAACAGGTACAACAATGCAATTGAAGCTCTGCCTGTTTTTCAAGTGGGTTGGATATGAAAAAAAGGAGCTTTGATCACTCCCACCCACTGCCATCTTGACTTATTTATTTATTTTGCTATACTCTGTGGTTACCCCCAAGCCTAAAGCGAACAGCGTGGATCAGAACCTCAGTTCAAAAATAACCAATGGGACAAGCAGGGGGAAATGAAAGGCAGCTGATGAAAAAGTTCTAAATGCTGTTTAAGAATTCCTTCAAAGTGAGACATTTGTTGGCTCCGCATGAAGAGAAACAATGTGAGGAGTTTCTTAATGATTCATTAAAATGGAGCCCATGTCCATTGAGACTGAAGGATAATTGGCCCAGTAAGGCAGATATAGACTTTTGATTCTGAACACTTAGGCTATCTCTTTAAGTATTAAATGTGATTTTCAAATATTAAAGGCATCTAAAACATATTTCCTTTGCTGATCCAACAAGACAAACATGATTCCCTTGGTTTTGCTTATTTGCCATTCAGCCTTCACCCAATACTCTCCAGATAAATTGCACCCATCTGCAACCATGGTTGCCTTGCTGGAATGCATTGCACCAGATGCCTCTCTTGGCAATCCTTGCCTGAGTTTGTATAAGCTACCTAGCCTACCTATGTGTAGCCTTGATAATGATTTGATTTGGTTGATCAATGATTTAAAACAGATTATACAATCAATGGGAGCAAATGGAATCATCTCATTTGGAGTTGCTCTTCATACCATTAAAAAAAGTATCCATTAGGATCATGAAAACCTTAGGATGTCACCTTCCATGTTTGTCTTGGATTGTAATAGGAATGGGTGGTTAAGATTCCAGAGAAACTGCTTAGATATTGTGCAGTTTAGAGATAAACAAAACAAAGCTATATGTTTTCTGTCACTATAGTCCCACTTGTATACCTTTATGAAAAGGGAACCTCATCACACATACATGAAATGAACAGTTGGAGCTGGAAGTAAAAAGAGCTGCTTATACCATGACAACACTGATTTTCTTACAGTGGATCTCTAGTTCCTTTGTTTTACACTACAAAGAGGCATATATGAGGAAAGTTCTACTATTTTTTTGGAAAAATATAAAATAACATGATGGCGTAATGCAAGCAGTTTCAGACTTTTCCAGAGTATGGAATTTTTCTCCTTATGACCCCCAAAATCTGAGGGAAGTGATGATTTTTGGATTTTTGAATAAGAGCAGAATATGGCGAGAAGAAAATCATAATTTTGGAGGGGAGAAATGGCCTTAAACATATTTATAACTGCAGTGAAGAAGATTGGAAGTTGATTCTTTATTTTTTTTCTGTTTTCTGTTTCCTTTCCCCTTGTTTATTGCTTTAACACTTTATTTCCCCTTTTTAATGTTGGCTTGTATTTATCTTTTTAAATAAAAATTATTTTTAAAAATCCCCCCCAGAATGTCTGATCAAGAGGGTTGGACTTTTAAATGCCAGCTGACAATCTGGAAAAAAATTAAGGAAAAAAAAAATAAGGAAAAAAAAATTAAGGAAAAAAATTCTGTGCAAAGAACTAAAAGAGAAAAATTATCTGTTCCTTGAAGAGAGTTTTTTGTTTTTCATCTTAGTCATTTATGGGCAGTTTTTCTTTAATCCTTTATAGATTTTTATTTCCTCTTGTGGAGAGTTTTCCATTAGAGACTAAGGGAGAAAAGCCCTCCATCATTTTCAGATAATTTTTCCCCCTTTTAGTCCTGCAGATCAAATCTTTCAAATCTTCACTAAAGCATAAGAGTCCATAGAACCCAATTTTTTTTAAAAAAAAATCTCATATAATGGATTGCTAAAATGTCAAATGAACCATGAACACCTTTAACCTTGGGGACAGATATAACTTGGCACTTTACTGTGATTTCTTTAGCAAGAGCTGGAATGAAAAATGCCAGTACTATCCATTTTTGCCAGTATATCTCTATTTTAAACACGGAAAAATATGTTTTCCTTGATTTCTTAAAAGAACATCAGGAATAATATAAGTTTAGTATTTTTTCATCTCAGTGATAGGTGCTTTTGTTTTATTTTGTTTTTTTAAAGATGATGAATTAGAAGAAAATCCTTTCTATGCTCAAAGATGACATAACTTGATAAATAAATAGTAGAAAGGAAATAACTGCATCATGTATCTTTATCTATACCTATGTCTATACAATGATTTGTCCAGTTTAGAAGAAAAACACTTCACTTAAAAAAGCACTTAAAAATTAGAAATGAATGTAAAGGTGCATGGTTTAATGTATTCCTGTTTTATTTCAGAATTATAGTACTTGCAATTTGTTTTTATTTCCATGAAGCATCAAATACACAGTATTTGAAACCACCATTCACCCTTAAAAACAACTGAAATGCCTGAATCAGATAAAATAAATACAGCTGAAAGTAGCATATAATGATATTAGTGCAGATAAAAAGGAAAATTACAGGAACCTATTATACATGAATTATGTTGTTTACACATATATTGTTACATAGCAGCGACACTGGTCCTTACATGCTGCAAACAGATACCCTTGCAGAACAAACAAAACAAAACAATTTCTCTTCTGCACCCAGCATTGCCCTCCTTAAACTCTCAAGTGATACTTCTTCAATAATTGAGAAATGCACAATTGGGTAGCCAATGAAATGGAGGACAGCTCATATAAACCTATACTGTGTGTTTATTATGCCATTGGAAACATATATGGAAAACTTGGCTGCAGAAGAGAGAGAAAGAGGCAGAATACAAGTAAAGGTAATATGAACTTCCAAGAGAAACTAAAGAGGGTAAACTAAGCCAGAAGGGAAGGCATAGTAGCTTGAATGAATGAGAATTTGAGTAGAGAACGATTGTATTGCAATATTTAAACAGTCTGTTATTTTATAAATGAATCAATAGCACAGAAGTGTTTCATTGTAAATTTTATACTAGAATAAATGTGCATAAATTTTTAATAAATAATAAAGGCAAGGAATAAACCAAGTGGGATTCTGGTTGAATTGCTTCATTATAGGCTTTTATTCAAACAGGGTCAAGGAATAAGGGATAAAAGGATATAATTCTTTCCCAAACCTAAAGGCTTATCTGCACCGGCTGATTCCTCCTTTGCCAAAACAGAACAACAACCACTTCTGAAAAGCAGGAAGGGATATTGTTTCCTTTAACCCCCAACCCATCATCAGAGTTACCTCAGGATATACTTTTCTGCTCCACTTTCCAAACACACCTTTCCACGTTATGTCATGTTCCTGTCCATTTTACAAACACTTTACAAACATAGAAATACACCTTCAAACTGATTCAATGCTTAGTGTAGTCTGTTAGAGAGCTACCTTTCCCATGGAATAGCACAAAGATTATAACTCTTATTTTGTAAATGGAAGGTTGCTCATTTGGAGGAACCTGGTAGGAAAAAAAAGCACTGGGGAAAATAGGAATCTCAGGAAAAGAAAAAAAAAGTTTCTGCTACTTCTTGAACCAGAACCTTCTGTATGCACAATAAATTTTATAGATGGGTTATTATAGACCTCAGTATAAGAAGTGATATTCTTATAGTGAGGTTCAGTAAGAAGTGATATTTAAAAAACTGCATATATGTGTGTATTGATGCTTTGATTTTATATGTGTAAATCAGTGGTGGGATTCAAATTTTTTTACTACCGGTTCTGTGGGCCTTACCTGTCCTTTATTTTCTTCTTTTTTCAACCTCAGCTGCTTTGCGCGGCACAGCTGCGATTGAAAAAGTAGGAAAAAAGTGTTATATTGGTCGATCGATCACAAAGAGACGCGAGGCAGTGACTAGTTTAAAGCTCTTTTTATTTCAGGTTTGAATCTGCCGCCGGCTGAGTATGCGGCGGCTTATATTGAACTGGTGCTGGGTGCCGTGGCCAATGACAGCCGTTCGAATCACCCGTGATCGGCTCGGCCAATCGCGGTTGCTTCGTAACGGCCAATCAGTGCCGCGCACTCGACCAATCCGGTCACTGTGCGTTTAGCCAATCAGGAGTGCAGGTTTCCAAGAATGCAAATGTCCATACAGAACACCCCTCCCCTCTTGGTTCGGTCCTACGTGACGTAGTCCCATAAGTAGGCGGGGCTCCGTACTTGCCTATTGGACCTGCGCATGTTAGTTGTCTCTTGGCTGCCGGCCAGTTCGGTCAGGGTTTGTGTCGCTCTCCACCTCGTCGATGGAACTGCCTGGAAGGGTGAGTCGAGCCTTTCGCCACAGCTCCCTCCTGGTCTACCCGGGCTGGTTGAGCTGCTGGCTTCGCTGCTCCCGCTCGGGCTTCCCGGGCTGGTCGAGCTGGCTCGGCTGTTTCTTCCAGGCGAGGCTTCGAGCAGGTCGTCTCCTGGTGCTTCGGTTGGTGAGTATTCCTGGTTTCTTTTTTGATGGGGATGTCTGTTTTGTTCCTCAGGGTTTTCCCTCCCCTCTTGGTTGGTCTTTTGGTGTTCCCCTTCTGCTCCTGGTTCTCTGTTTCTGTGTGATTGCATGTCGGTTGTATTTCCCGTGGTGGTTCTCGATCTTAGCTGATCGATGTGTTGTTTCCA